GGGGCAGGCGGGAATCGAACTCATGCTGAAGTGGCTTTAGCTTCTTAGTGCTGTGCTTTAACCCGCTGCGCCACCAGGGAGGGCCCACATTTCCTATTTTTAAAGATGGAAACTTAACTAGAAAACATTCAGAGTGGGTTGAAATGAAGCACATATGATAGATATTTAGCCATCTTGCCCCCAAAACAAGATGACTATTTATTTAGGCATCTTGCACCAAAAAGCAAGACACTTAAATTTAAACTTAATTTGGTTATTTGTGTGTCTTCAACTTTGATCTTAGATGCTGAATATAATTAGAAAACATTAGGGATATATAATAGTAAAGAACAGAGGTAAGGGTTGGATCTAAGAAACAACATATTACCTATTCTATAGATTGCACAGATTGTATACTGCCTGGCCTCCTTCCAGGTTTCAAAGCAAACTATGATGACCCGTACTTCCTTGGAGGCTACAGATGTTTGTCTTCCCAAGCTTTAAGGAGTTGAGGAATAGCAGAATCTACCTCATCTCTTCAATTCAGATTCCAGTAATTGTTCAATCACTACCCCTCATCATACCCCCATCATTCCCTTCACATGAAAGCCTCTAATCCTTTAAGGCTCATACTAGTAATTTTTCTTTCTTACCACTCTCTGTGAACCTGTTATTATTTTTCCATTCACTGAAAATTCTGGAACTTTTCATCCTTTCTCTTCACTTGAAGACCTGCCTCCTTCTTGATGAAATGTAGGAATATATTCACATGTATCATCCATTGAAACACTACTCACTTCCTTGCTCCAATCATCATTTTCTCTGCCAGGGATACCCTTTTCAACATCTAATATAGCTAATATTAGATATATTAGCTCTGATATATCTAAATTTAGAGCATTCTTTGAAAATGGTTCCACCTTAATCAGCACAAATGCCCCCAAGTAGAAAACTGGATTAAAAAGATGTGGTACATATACATAATGGAATATTACTGAGCAATCAAATGATAAACTCTTGCCTTTTATAGCAACATGGATGGAGCTGGAAGGGATCATGATTAGTGAAATAAGCCAGAAAGGAAAAAAAAAACAGATGATTTTACTAATAGTAGGAGTATAAGAGATCAGGTGAAGAGAGAGAGA